TATATAAAATATATATATATATAAAATAAATATATATATATATATTTTTTTATTTTTTTTATTTTTTTCTTTTGAGACAAGGTCTCACTCTGTTGCCCAGACTGGAGTGCAGTGGTACAATCTCGGCTCATCGCAACCTCCGCCTCCCAGGCTCAAGTGATTCTCCTGCCTCAGCCTCCCAAATAGCTGGGATTACAAGTGCCTGCCACCATGTCTGGCTAATTTTTGTATTTTTAATAGAGACGGGGTTTCACCATGTTGGCTAGGCTGGTCTTGAACCCCTGACCTCAAATGATCCACTGACCTCCACCTTCTAAAGTGCTGGGATTACAGGCATGAGCCACTGCACCCGGCCAACTTTTATATATTGACACATGAAAAATATTATCTGGTCCCTGGTCAGATATATGTAATAGAGGGAACTAAAATTTAGATTCTTATGGGACTGGCATCCTATTTTAAAAGGAAAACATGTGTATATATATATATACACACACACATATATACACACACACATATATACACACACACACACATATATATACATACACACACACACACACACACTTGGAATATAAGATTGCCATATTGTTTTAGAGCTGAATTGGCAAAACTAGTACCCCAGGCACGTCTTTAGTTAGACTTGTTATCACACCTCTGTGAAAGCCTACACTGGGCTTACCTCATCTCTGCCTCCAGCACTTTCTGGTCTTAGGACGAGTGCAACTTTTCCAGACCTTGATTTCTTACGAGAAAAAAAAAAAAAAGGAGATGCTGAATGCAATGATCGCTTTACTGTCCTCTTATGAATCACTTATGAGTACAGTGTGAATAGCCCTTCATGATTAAGGGGAAAGGACACCTGTTTTTTGTTTTTTGTTTTTTTCTTTTTTTGATATGGCGTCTCGCTCTGTTGCTGAGGCTGGAGTGCAGTGGCGCCATCTCAGCTCACTGCAACCTCCACCTCCCAGGTTCAAGCAATTCTCCTGCCTCAGCCTCCCAAGTAGCTAGGATTACAGGCACCCGCCACCATGCCCGGCCGATACCTGCTTTTGGGAATGAGTTTTTAGTGTGCCTAAAGGAAGCCAAAAAGGGCAAAACCATAATGGATCCACAGAGCGGCTGGGGAAAACCCAAGGAAGAGCGGCATGAGAAACTGGTTATTTTGCTTATCGAGGGAATCAAAACCAAAATCAAACACAGAAATTGGGAGAGAGAAAAATATAGGTTAGGAGGTCCCCACAATATCAAATCTTAACAAAATTTCTTTCACTTCAGAATGAAGAAATCTTTGCAAGCCGTCATGAAAGGGGGAACCCTGAGCTGGAGCAGCAGGCCAGGCTCGGAGACCTTTCTCCCCGCAGGTAAGACTGCAGATCCGTGGGTGCGGGGTGGGGGCACGGGTGGCGAGGATCCTTTCTTTTACATCTCAGCACCTGTCTTTCCCAGATGAGAATCATAATATTTATCCTCTATACTAACCTTCATTTATGTACCTGAGAACAAACCTTGTGAATCCCACAAAAGCAACAAGCAAAAGAGCTTAAAGTGACATCTTAGAAACCAAACTTCTAAGAATACGGTGTTTCAAAAAATTGGGCTGTTAAGAGAATATTACATGTAAGCTAATGTTGATATTGACTGAATTATTGGTTTAAACACATTTAAAGTCTCTTGGTTCCCCAAAGACACAATTTATACAAATGCTGTTTTTGCTCTGTAGAAAGGTGTTTGCATCCTCAGAAATGCTGTGCCATTCAGAAAGCCTAAATTAAGGAGGTAAAAGCCAAAAATTTATTTTTTAAAAAATATTTATACTCAGAATCCCCATCATGACACCTGTTCTAGTGCTAGTCACATTATTTATACCCACACTGTTTGAGTTGTAAGCTGCTTTTATCCATGGTGTCTATCATAATGCTTGACTCTTAGCAGGCCTCTGAAAAATGTCTGTAGAATGAATGAACAAACATCTTTAGGAACGTGCTCCTTGATTAAACATAATGTTAACTAGACTACTTTATATTCTTTCGCTTATGGTGTATTCAGAGAAACATGTGGGCTCTTACTGATTGACATGTGTCCTGGAGTTATAATGAATGGCCCAATTCAACATGTGAGTGTTGAATGGTATCACCTCTGAAAAACACCATTTGGCATTGATATGTTCTCTAGTTTTCCTTAAGTGACAGTTTATCTTTTAATACTTTTACTAAAACTCATACCTACTTTTATAAGAGTCTTAGTGTTCTTTAAGTTAGTTGATGAATTATTGTATTAACTTATAACAGGCCAGGTGTGGTGCCTCATGTCTGTAATCCCAACACTTTCCAACACTTTGGGAGGCTGAGGTAGGAGGATTGCTCGGGCCCAAGAGCTCGAGACCAGCCTGAGCAACATAGTGAGACCCCATCTCCACAAAAAGTTAAAACACTTATCGGGGTGTGGTGGGGTGCACCTGTAGTCTCAGCTACTCAGGAGACTGAGGTGAGAAGATTACTTGAGCCCAGGAGGCTAAGTCTGCAGTAAGCTAAACTGTGATCACACAGCTGCGCTGCAGCCTGGGTGACAGAGCAAGACCCTGTCTCAAAGAGGAAGAAAAAAACCAAAAAACGTATGGCACACTGCCAAATCATACTTCTTATGAGAAACACAAAGGAATAAAGTTACAGCACTTAACTAATGAAACAAAAATATCTTTACGTTCTTGCAAAAGAACTTCGAGAAAAGGCAAAATTAGCCACTGAGTTAATCAAGAGGTAGAATCTGTAAGACTGTTTTTGTTCTACCACCAGCTTTGAATAAATACCTTAAGATCACCAGTCTTTGCTGCAACTGTTTAATCTGTATTTCCTTATTCCTTTTTGATTCTATAGAGTTTTGCTGCATAACTAATACAAATTTGCTTGGTATATAGAAAGCTTTCAGATTTTTGGGAGATGATTTATTATTCAGAATCCTAAGTGGACACTGTGCAAGGCATGGTTGCCTTCAGAACTTATAGCTAGTAAAAACACGCATGGAATGATTAGTAGGTAGTACAATAATATATGTGACTAAGTATAAATTTGGGGAGGAGGGAAGGAAGAGATGCTTAAGGGAAGAGAGAAGGTAGAACTGGGTTTCCAGAATTTCAACAGGTATAGAAAAAGCGGTGTTCTTGGCAAGGGAAACCAACTTAAGCAAGGTATGGTCACGAATGACATTATGATAGATAATAGTGGCAGTGATAAAAACCAAGCTTTTTATCTTGAAGGAGGAAAAGATTACAGAGGGCCTTGAAAACCAGGTAAAAGAGTTTAGATTTGATGCTGGAGGCAGTAAGGAGTCTTTGAGGTCTGGAGTAAAGGAATACTGTAATGAAAGCTATTATTAAGGACTGTGTCACAGCAGAATGTAGAAGTGATTGGAAGGAAAATGGGCTCAAAGAGACATCGAATATTCCTCCCATTATTATCGCAGAATGAATAACCTTGCATATCAAGAGTTCTCTGGTTCTATTCTCTTTGCAGCTATAGCATCCAATTAAAGTCCCCAAATATAGGTCATTAATTAATTCTTCCAAGTCATCACATTTTAGCACCAACTACAAACACTCCTACCATGCCTTGCAAGTAAAAAGTTCTACCATAACCAAATAATTCAGATGCTTACAAGTTTTAAATATAGATTGAGTTACACAATATGCTATGTGAAGAACTGAGCAGGAATCTGGTAAAAAAACAGATGAGAGCACACTACATGCAAATATATCGAAGCACCAAACACTCCGAAGTAGGTGTAAGGGCATTCCTGATATTAAGAGATTAGGGTTAAAATTGACTGTATTTCAGACAGCTAACAGTATCAAAGAAAAGGAAGACGTAACTTTTGCAAATGGTATCTTAAGGCACTGTAACTAGAGGTGATTTCTTCCCTCTCTCAACAGATTATAGTCATGCATTGCTTAACAATGAGGATAAATTCTGAGAAATGCTTTTTTTTTTTTTTTTTTTTTTTTTTCATCACACACTCTTGCTCTGTCGTCCAGGTTGGAGTGCAGTGGCACAATCTCGGCTCACTGCAACCTCCCTCTCCCAGGTTCATGCAATTCTCCTGCCTGAGCCTCCCGAGTAGCTGGGATTACTGGTGTGTGCCACCACACCCGGCTAATTTTTGTATTTTTAATAGAGACAGGGTTTCACCATGTTGGCCAGGCTGGTCTCAAACTCCTGACCTCAGGAGGTCCACCTGCCTCGGCCTCCCAAAGTGCTGGGATTACAGGCGTGAACCACTGCGCCCAGCCAAGAAATGTATCTTTAGGTGACCACATGGACATGCAAACATCCCAGGGTATACATACGAGAATCTAGAGGGAATAGCCTACTAGACACCTAGCTATATGGTAGAGCCTATTGCTCCTGGGCTACAAACCTGTACAGCATGTTACTGAATACTGCAGGCAACTGTAAGACAATGGAAAGCATTTATGTATCTAAATATATCTAAATGTACAAAAGGTACAGTAAAAATCTGAAATAAAAGATAAAAAATGGTACACCTGTGTAGGGCAGCTCCATTGCAATTTCATGGGACTGTCGTCATATATATGGTCCATTGTTAACCGAAACGTCATTTTGTGGCACATGACTACATTAGGAAAGAACATCTCCCCATCCAGACATTCCAGCATGAGTCATTTGACAAACAGTAGCATCTTAGGTGGCCCTATAATGCAGAGAACATGATCATCCTATAGGAATAGGGCTAAGACCATGTAGGACATTAAAACAGAATGAATGATTATATAAGCAATGTTCATGAAAAAGTTTAAATACACATCTCCTGATAATTTTTCAGTTGTTTATTGGAAATCATAGATTTTTTTTTTAAAACCCACTAATTATTTTGTCATACAAGAGCAAAATTCAAATAATACAAATATTTAACATTTTGGTATAAAATTAACAATATGGAAAAAAGATGCAAACCAACCAAAAGGTAGAAAAATTTTAACAATAACACTGTGTATAACCATCTTCTATTCAAGTGACCATCCAAGCTGATAGTTTATTTTCCCTTTGTTGACATTTTTAAAAAAGATAGCCCTGCATTTGGAGCACCAAAAAGTTTTTTCCTTCTTTTTTAAAAGGTTGGAACCCTTTTATTTACAAATACTCTTCTCAGTACTTTAAGTGTGATGAGGGAATCATCTAGCAACTTCCTTCTTAGAAAAAAAAAGGAGTGCCTTCATATTTCCTTGAAATTTAAACCTGCTCCATTCTATTCTAAGCAAAAATAAAAAGGACACGGTTCAGAAGAGTTCTTTTAGCAAATAAATAATAGTTTCACAAAAGCACTGCTGTAAACAAGATCACTTTGATGGCCAGAGACACTGATGTTTTCAACCAATGGCAACTTTAAACACTTCCAAGTATAGATACACAGGGTATATATGGCCAAAAGGCAATATATCATTAAAGAATCAACTAATAAAAATTAACTATAAGCCTGTTGCTTGGTCAAATATGCTTTTGTTCTCTACGTTTTTTAAAATTGGTCAGAAAACTTAAACTGTGATGATCTAAAACCCTGCATCTACTCTGAAAGTAACTACAACCTAGAATGTTTGACATTGTAGTTTTGACATTAGTTAAAAATACTAAATTATCTAAGCAATGTAAACAAGCCTCAAATTTCAAAATAGAAAAAAATTAAAATTTCTGTAAACATTAAAAAGCTACCTGCTAAAAATTGTTAAGTATCATCATCCAGTTGTGTATACCGATAAATCTTTTTTAGTTTTGTTTTGCATGTTTTTAGACATTACCTTATTATATGAGACATCTTATTTTCCCTAACAGGTGCCTCTGCTGTCAAAGGTCTTAGAGTGAGCTCAGCCACTGTTGCTGAAGTCATTATTTTGGCCTTCATATAATCTCCCTAGCAGTAGACACCACCTAATTCTTTCTGTAGTGAAGGGAGGTAGTGTATTATAGCCACATTTTTATCCTGCTTTGTAAAATAAATGTAACTTACTTTATTAGATCTCAGACACATCTCTCTGATTACAAGGAACATGCAGCTTTAAAAATGGTTTAAACCCCAAACTGGCAACTTTTCCATCACTTTTTTACTGTTTTCAAGTTTGAATTATTTAGAAAATAAAGATCACCTCTGACAGCTATTTGATGAAAAATAAATTGTTTTAGATATTATAACTTTGATGTTTAATGCTCTCAATTTAAAACTCTGAACTTGGAACAAAGTGCTGTGGTTTATAAGACCTCGTTGGGGAGGAGTGGGTTAATTTTAGTAATCAGTACAATGATTTAGACACTAAGATTTCATTTTATAAAATTATGGATAAATTTGGCTTGTAATG